TATGTTAATTTCACTATTACTTTTTTAAAAATTAGTTTAAGTGTTCAATTTTAAAAACGTCGAAAACTAACCGCGTCTAAACATCATGTCCTTAGTTGGTCCGTAAGCTTTGGTGTTCAAAATTCGGCATGTTTTCACGTAATATAGATCTTTTAAAATCATTTAAGACAAAAAAAAAATTCACTAAAATTCAAAACAAATTTAAGACTTAAACTTTAAGAAAATAACTAATACTTTTTAACCAAAATCATGTTAATTTCACTATTACTTTTTAATAATTAGTTTAAGTGTTTAGTTTAAAAAACTTCGAAAACTAATTGCGCATAGGCATCATGTCTTTAGTTGGTCCGTAAGTTTTGGTGTTCGAAGTTTGGCAAATTTTCACGTAATATATATTTAACACTTAAACTCATTTAAAAAAAATAATAATAATGATTTTCACTAAAATTTAAAACAAATTTAGGACTTAAACTTTAAGAAATTAATTAATAATTTTTAACTAAAACCATGTTAATTTCACAATTACTTTTTAAAGATTAGTTTAAGTGTTTAGTTTTAAAAACGTCCAAAACTAACCGCGCCTAGGCATCGTGTCCTTAGTTGGTCCGCAAGTTTTGGTGTTCGAAGTTCGGTATGTTTTTACGTAATATAGATTTAACACTTAAACTTAATTTTAAAAACTCATTTACTAAAATTTAAAACAAATTAAACACTTAAACTTTAAGAAAATAATTAATGATTTTTAACTAAAACTATGTTAATTTCACTATTATTTTTTAAAAATTAGTTTAATGTTTAATTTTAAAAACGTCAAAAAATAACTGTGCTTAGGCATCCTATCCTTAGTTGGTCCGAAAGCGAGTTCGAAGTTCAGCATGTTTTCACGTAATATAAATTTAACACTTAAACTCATTTAAAAAAAAATAATAATGATTTTCACTAAAATTCAAAACAAATTTAAGACTTAAACTTTAAGAAACTAATTAATAATTTTTTACTAAAACCATGTTAATTTCACTTTTATTTTTTAAAAATTAGTTTAAGTGTTTAGTTTTAAAAACGTCGAAAACTAACCGCGCCTAGGCATCCTATCCTTAGTTGGTCCGTAAGTTTTGGTGTTTGAAGTTCGGCATGTTTTCACGTAATATAGATTTAACACTTAAACTTACTTTTAAAAAACAATAATGATTTTAACTAAAACTTAAAACAAATTAAACACTTAAACTTTAAGAAAATAATTAATGATTTTTAACTAAAACTATGTTAATTTCACTATTACTTTTTAAAAATTGGTTTAATGTTTAATTTTAAAAACTTCGAAAACTAACTGCGCTTAGGCATCCTATCTTTAGTTGGTCCGTAAGCTTTGGTGTTCGAAGTTCGGCATTTCATGTAATATAGATTTAACACTTAAACTTTTAAAAAATAATAATAATTTTTACTAAAACTTAAAATAAATTAATCAGTTAAACTTTAAGAAAATAATTAATAATTTTTAACTAAAACCATGTTAATTTCATTATTACTTTTTTAAAATTTAGTTTAAGAGTTTAATTTTAAAAACGTCGAAAACTAACCACATCTAGGCATCATGTCTTTAATTGGTCTATAACCTTTGGTGTTCGAAGTTTGGCATGTTTTCACGTAATACAGATTTAACACTTAAACTCATTTTTAAAAAATATTAATGATTTTCACTAAAATTTAAAATAAATTTAACACTTATATTTTAAGAAAATAATTAATGATTTTTAACTGAAACCATGTTAGTTTAACTATTACTGTTTAAAAATTAGGTTAAGTATTAATTTTAAAAACGTCGAAAACTAACCGCATCTAGGTATCTTGTCCTTAGTTGGTTCGGAAGCTTTGATGTTCGGCATGTTTTCACGTAATATAGATTTAACACTTAAACTCATTTTTAAAAAATAATATTGATTTTCACTAAAATTAAAAAAAAATTAAACACTTAAACCTTTAAAAAATTATTAATTATTAATAATTTTTAACTAAAACTATGTTAATTTTACTATTACCTTTTTAAAAATTATTTTAATGGTTCAATTTAAAAAACATCGAAAACTAATCGCGCATAGACATCCTGTTTTTAATTGGTCCGTAAGTTTTGGTGTTCAAAATTTAGTATGTTTTCATGTAATATATATTTAACACTTAAATTCATTTTTTTAAAAATAATAATGGTTCCCTATAAATAGCAAAAGTAGTAATTTCCGACGAGTGTCGCCATTGTTGGAAAAAGTCAAATTCCACATTTTAATTGAGACATAAAGACACAGCACTTAGTACAGTGTCTACTTAAATCTATTCCTAAAAACCATTCCACTTCCAACTTCATCTATAGTAAGTGATGAGCTTATTCCTTACTCCTATTTCAAAATATAAGATGTTATAATCATTTTATTTTGTTTCATATTATAATATGTTTTTAAAGTTTCTATGTAAATTTAAGTGCATTTGATCATTTGTGACCATTTCTATGCAAATTTAAACATCTTATAATTTGAAACAGATGAAGTAGTTGTAAGTAAACCTGTCTTTTTCTTCTTCCTAAAGCTGGTCTGAAAACCTTCATTTTTTGTATAAAAATAATCACACCAATTTTGGGCTATACACAGACATAGTTTGTCTCTGCTTCTACTGCTTATGCAGATTCTTTTGGTAGTAGCAAAATCTATTTGACTAGTATTATTTACTCAAAATGTATCTCCCAAGTTTCAATTTACCATACTTGATTAGAAATTTATTATACATAAAAAATGTACTATGTACATTGTTACAAGCAAATTTGAAAACAATAAAGACTGTATATTATAGAACTTTACAAAGACTTTATGGGGAAAAAATCTTAGGAGGATGCATTTTATATTAGCTAATATGAAAAAATCTTAGGAGGATGCATTTTATATTAGCTAATATTATCCTTCTTACGGATTTGGATATCTGGCTTTTTAGAGTATTTGGATCCGTAACAGGGTTAATATTAGCCTAATATGCTAACTCATATGATAATGAATACTCCCTCTGTCCCAAATTATAGGATGTTTTAGCATTTTTTCCTTGTTCTATTTTATAAGATTTTTTTAGATTTCTATGCATAATTTATGTTTATTTAGTATGTTATGACCATTTAAATTCTGCAGTCTTTTTTTTTCTTGGCTGAATTCCTATAAAAAAGTAAACATTAATTATTTCTTATCTTTGTGCTTTTACACAAAACATCTTATAAAATGGGACAGAATGAGTAAGTTTTTATTATATTGTTATATTTTTCTTATTTTAAGATTATTTTTGTTTTATTTTTTTGAATAAGTATATATATTCTTTTAACATTTAAAAAAAATAAAGGTGATATGTGTTGATTATGCGATGGATATTGAATAGTTGCAATTATTGTAGTGAACTGATAGATTACCTATAATATAATATGATTTGATGTTTTGAAAATGAAAGCATGAGAAACGTGATAGAATTAAAGATGGTAAATTCTTAAGAGTATTATTTTATTTCTGGTCGTAAGTAACTATTACTAAAGCTAACGTTGGTATCTAACGGCTAACGTTGTAAGATTCATAAAACACCGGCCACTTCAAATCCCACGTTTTAAAACAAAAATTACGTTTTTTTTTTTTTTTTAATTACGTTCTTTCTTGGAATTACCATATGTCCATATGTCCACGTTTTTTTATAAGTTATCTTCGTACCAAACCGTTAAAAAAATATTATTTTCTCAGTTTTATTATAAATATCGTTTCATTTTTTTTACATTTATTAAAAAATTATTAAATTTTCTATTATATTATTTACTAATATATTATACAATTTTTTTTATTGGTCAACATATTAATATATTAGAAATAAGGGAAATTGTTCAAATGCTCCTTTTGGTGTGTCCTTTTTAAAAAATACACCTTTTAGATGTCCATTTTAAAAAATGCCCCTTTTTAAATTTAAAATTTTTATAAAGTTTTATTAGGTTTATAAGGTACTTATGGATTGTAACTACTACTTGAAGACTCGATCCAAGTATTTATAAGGTTTTATAAGGTGTTTTAAAAGGTTTTACAAGTTATTTTAAAGGATTTTTAAGGTTTTTCAAAAGTTTTACAAGATATTTTAAAGGTATTTAAAATACATTTATAAGGTATTTATAAAATATTTATAAGATTTTAGATACATAGAAATGTAGTTTGTGTATGTTTTAATAATGTTACATACATATTTGGGTAAATCTTATATTTTTAAGAGTATTTTTTATAAAATTTTAAAGAAGGGGCATTTTTGAAAAATAGCATTGAAAAAGGGGCATTTTTGCAAAAGACACTTATTTTAAAAATATTTAAATATTTTATATATAAAAGGGAAATTTTTAAATATTTATATTAAATATATATATAAACACTTATTTTAAAACGACACTTAATTTGAAACGAAAAGAGTATATGCGTGAAAGTGAAAAAATAAATTATTTCAGAATATCCAATATAACACAACAAAATGAAACTAAAAAAATTGTAAAGACATTGAAGATGGCAAATATAATTAATGTTTGTAAACTGTTTATTCACACCATGTTTTTAAAAGAAAAAATATTATTTTTTGACAGAAAATATTTTTCTATTATTTATAACAATATTAAGTTTTTTTATTGGTTTTACCGTTTTTAAAAAGTGATTACGTACAAACTAAAAATATAATGAAAAGAAATAAAAATCATTGATTTATTCATTTAACTAGTTTCATGTCATTTTGTTTGTCAACAACTATAACATACTGAATTCGAGTTTTATTTTTTATTTTTCAACTACCATTTTTTTTTTGGTTATTTTCTGATTTCATTTGAATAGCAAAAGTAGTAATGTCCGACAAGAAATTGGCCAATGTCGAAAAAGGTCAAATTCCACATTTTAATTGAGACATAAAGACACATCACTTAGTACAGTGAAATATCTACTTTTATATATTCCCAAAAACCATTCCACTTCCAACTTCATCTCTCTCTCTCTCTTCTCACTTTTCTCTCTACTCAGATTTTCAATTCACAGAGATAGAGAGAATGACTAAAATCTCTGTTGGATTGCAACTTGTGACAGCAGATTCAAAGGAAAAACCAAACAACATAGTGATCAAATCTTCACTGAGAATAAACCGATTCAATCCAATCATCTCGGAGCTTTGTTTCCTCAAAACATGTCATCTCTGCAATAAACAACTCCGTCAAGACAAAGATGTTTACATGTACAGGTACGAATATTCTTAAAACTTTATTATATGATACTCTTTATATATAATCTAAAGATGTGTTCTTGATTCTCAATTTTTCTTTTTCTTGAAAACAGAGGAGATTTGGGATTTTGTAGTAGAGAGTGCAGAGAAAGTCAGATTTTGTTTGATGAAAGAAAAGAATTAGAGGCTTCGACGAAGATGATGTTGGCTTCGTATAGACGATGTAACTCCGGCGCCGGGAAAAGCGAGTCTCGAGATTTATTTGATGATCTCCGGCGAAGACGCCAATTGTTTATAGTTCCTTGAGGCTTTTTTAAACAATCACTAATTATAGTTTTTTTTTTTTGTTAAACACCTTACTAAGTTTTTTTTTTTTCCTCAAAACACCTTACTAAGTTATAAGTAAAAAGGAAGAGATGTTAATTAAATTGTGTCGTTTTTCAAAATCTTAAAATGTTTATTGGACAGTTTATGTGGTGATCTCAGGTGGGATAACTACTAATTTAGTAATATGCTCGTTAATTAGTTAGATTAATTGTAGTTGTTGACCAAAGATAAAGATTACTTGTAGGTACACGTTAATTAGTGAGATAATCTATTATACAAATTGTCATATAACTCATATTCACAATTAATGAACTAAATATGATTAATTCGAAAAATATTCTTATATTCAGATTGGATCTTGACATGATGGATATGAACTGGATAAAGAGTTATTTTAGAGCGGAAAATCTTTCTGAAAAAAAATTATTCGATTTGTTTTTTTATATTATTTTATTTTAATGGAGATATTTTGATATATGGATGGACATAGACACTCTCTTTGGTCGAAGATATGAACAACTCATTCAGGCACGTGTTGAATATGTACTTGCGAATAGTGTATTGAATGCTATTTTATAGTATTAAAAATTGGAATTATTGTGTTACTAATTATTTATTTTTCCCTCGTCAAGTGATCACTTTGGTCAACAGTATCACTGTCACACTAAGCAGTAGGGGTGGGCATTTCAACCGAACCGAACCGAACCGACCCAACCCAACCGAACTCAAACCGACCTAAACCGAACCCTGGCTTAGACTCAAACCATTCGGTTGGGTTTATTCTCAACCCAAATGGGTTGGTTCGGTTCGGTTTAAAACCAAACCGAACCGATAACCCAATGTGTTTATTTGATTAATTAGTTAATTATATTATTATTATTATAAATAACTAAATATGTGTTTATTCTTAATTTTATAATAATTTGAATAAATGTAAATTAGATTTAATTATCTCTAAAACTCTAACCCTAAAAAACTTAGGGTTCTCCTTCTAACTTATAAAGAGTAAAACTCAAAAGACTTTCATATTTCATTCTATGTTCTTTCATATTTTTGTTTTGTTATATTAATTAATTTTTTGAACCGAACTCAAATCGAACCGAAGTAAAACCGAACCGAACCAAACCGAACCAAACATAAACTAACCCAAACACAAACCGAATCAAACTAACTTCGGTTGAGTTTGGTTAGAGTTTTACGAAACCCAAATAAACCGAACCGAACCGAACCCAAACCGAACCCGAAGTTAAACCGAAATGCCCACCCCTACGAGTAAGCAGGTTCGAGGTCTCGGGCCAATTAGAAAGGCCAATAAATTGAACTAACTGCAAGTGTCTATAACTTGACCTATTAAGCCCACTAGCTAAGCTATTCGGCCCAAAAAAACAACATGGCTTGTGTAATGATGATTCCACTTGTATGCAATTCATATATCATATAGAAGTTTATGTTCAGATTGTGGATTCCAGTTGGTGGAAAATAAAATCACCTGATTATGGAATTTCTTTTGCTTCTTTAGTGATATAATCGAGTTTACTTCAATTATTAAAATGTAAAATAGTGAAACAAATAATTGCTCCATGAATGATATCATCTTCAAATTCTTTGAGATAAGCTAATTTAGGAACTTGTCTCGATCCGGGAAAAAGATTCGGACCCTACCTCTTTTATTCGTCTGTGTTTCTTTGCGTTCACAATTTGATCTTAATATATAAAATAGAGAAAATATACATGAATGTTCTTTTTAGTATAAAATATACGAATGCACTTATTTATTTATATACATGTAATACAACTATACACGTATGACGACGTATCAAATTGAGTTTTATAAAATAAGAGAATACTGAACTTATGTGGAAGTCGAAACTAACACAATCGAGATTTATCTAGGATTTTATTTTAGGGATACGATAATCGTGAATTCTCAAAGAACAACAGAAACGATTATAACCAAAGATGGTGTTCTTGATATTATTAATGAAAAGATGATTTTGATCGTACAAGAGTTTGATCGTAAAAGAAAAGATGTTTGTGCTGTGAGAGCTTTGCGTAGTGTAAATTCTAGAGCGATCTTGTCCCCCTTTTGCTTGATCCTTGAGTCTCTTTATATAGGGGTGATAAACCGCTTCTCCAGCGATATTCTCGGAAGATTTCCATTTATCTTGAAGTCGGCTAGAATATCGCGGATTAGGACAATTTCCTTATTCTTCGGAGTTTTCGGAAGATTTCCTGATTTGAGTTGATCCTTCACGATTCCTCCTTATCATTTCCGAGTATATCGGAAATGATCCTTCTTTTTCGGAAATGACAATGTGCTTAGAAATGATACCTTTAAAGAAGAATATTTACAAAGTCTTTGCTTCGGGCGATGATGAAGACTTCGCCTCGGGGAACTTGTACAACCGGCTCGGGTACACATGAAGGGCTGGCTCGGGCATTCTAGGATGGCTTCATCGGGTGTCCCCGAGGCGATGGGCTCAGAAACTCCCGAGGTGACCAGGCTCGGGTACTCCCGAGGCAATTGGGCTCGGGTGCTTCTGATGTCTTCTTCAGGATATCCCCGAGGCGATGGGCTCGGGTACCCCCGAGGCAATTGGGCTTGGGTGCCCCCGAGGCAATTGGGCTCGGGTGCCTTCGACGTCTTGTTCTGGATATCCCCGAGGTGATGGGCTCGGGTATTCCCGAGGCAATTGAGCTCGGGTGTCTTCGTCGTCTTGTTTAAGTATCCCCGAGGCGATGGGCTCGGGTATACTAAATCGTTTAGACAGATATCCCGAGGTGAATGATGCGATGCCCCGAGATGATCTCTGAAAGACTCCCAAAGTGTTCTAAGTCTGGCTCGGCGCCAAGGGGTGGAACCCGACCCCAACAGTTAGCCCCCCAGCTCGTTAGTTTGGATAACCAAGCGTGATGAGCTTTATGACATCTAGGCCGAGCCGTTTACTCTGAACAGTTCGATCCCTTTAAAGTTTTTGGCGATTCGAATTCTTCTGTCGTTTCATCTTCTCTTGGCGTGTGACGGTTGGAATTCCTTCTCGAGAAGTGGAAAGGTCCCTTCGCTGATTCCCGAGACTCGTGCGGATGTGAAGTATCCTACTTACTTCGTTTGTGCCCGACGCGCCTCAGACGCGGATTCGATGTGTTTTATTTGGCTCGTCCGTACCCGACGCGCCCAAAATCTCTATAAATGCTAAGCCTTCGACTCGTTTTTTCATTTCGCAATCGCAAAGGAAATTTTTCAAGGTTCGTTTTCTTCTCTCTGATCTTGATTTCTTGCATTTTTTACTTTTTCCGTTAATACTTCCGTCGTAGCGCCACCGTCATTAGGTCTAGGTTGATTTCTCCGATCTGTCAAATTTCATTCCTCCGATCAACTTTTTCAATCTCCCGAGCCAGAAAATGTCCCTCTCTGATTCCAGTGACTCGCCCCGAGGTGACACTCTTCTCCCCGTCTACAAGAGAAAGATGGTCTGGAGTTCCTCGAGCGACCCCGAGGCGGATACCGCGGATAATCAGATCGTGTTGTACCGTGGTAGTGACGCAGAGTCGGCTTCTCGGGAAGAAGACCCGAGCCGTTTCGTCGTTCGGGAAGACGCGATTGCGAATGTAGCTCGGGATCAGGATTTGCCTGATGATCCCGAGGCGACTTTGAGTAGAAGGAGGATCCATCCTCCAGCAACTGGCGAGGCTGGAGTATCGTGCTGGCGAAGTGCCCCCGAGGCACCTCTACTTCCTGTTAAGGCCGAGGAAGTTCACTACGATTCTGACGAGGCGGCTAGGTTGCTTCAAGCTAAAGTCCAAGCAGCCAAGGGTCAACAGAAGAGAAAACGAGCCAAGAAGGCCAGGAAACCTGATCCCCCGGGTTCTACTTTATACACGGAGGATTCCCTTCGGGATCTCAAGGCTCGGTTTGGTTTTAGTGAGGGGGTTGAGCTGAGACTTCCGACTCCAAATGAGCAAGCCGATGATCCACCCGAGGGATTTTTTACCCTTTACGAGGGGTTCTTCTATCATTGCTACCTTTGGCTTCCAATCTCGAGGCCGATTTTGGCGTTTCTGTGGTCGTACAAGATTGCTTTATCCCAGATAACGACCCGAGGCTTGCGGCATCTAGTGGGGATTTTAGTCCGAAGTATCGAGACGGTCAATCTGGTTGACCTAAGCCACTTGAGGAATCTCCTAGAGATCCGGCGCATACCGGGCCCTGTCGAGAGGTTTTACATATCTCCGAGGCTAAATAGGAGGGTTATCGGCGGTTTCCCGAGCAAGGACGAGAAGTATACCGACCACTTCTTCTTCGTAGCCTTAAATGAGTATAGTGTCCACGAGGACTACTTAGGGAAAGTCGTTGGAAAGTGGAGACAAATCGGTACTACGCCCGAAGCCGTATTTGTTGTCTTGTTTCACTTCAAACTTTTTACTAACCGTTTTTCCTGTTCATGCAGATCGGAACCCGTCGTTTCTCGAAGACATTCCCGAAGGTTTTCTAGATCTCCACGACGAACTAATTGCTCGGAAGTGCGACTGGACGAAGCACTTCTCCCAGGAGAGAATCGAGAGAGCCTTGCGTCTGTTGCACGGAGCTCCCTGCCAGTCTTCTTCAGAATCATCCGACCACCGTCTCGATCACCTTATTGAAATGCAAGGAGCTGCGCAATCTTTGAGGGCGAAGAAAGCTGCCGAAAGAAAGGCGGCCGAGGAGAAAAGGGTTTGCGAGGCGACGTTCGGTCCGTCACCTATGCCTGAAGTTAACTTTGATCCGCAGGCTGCCGATGGTGCCGAGGCGACTGAGGAGATTCGGGTCACTGCGGACTTGTCCAGGCCCGAGGCCTCTGGTGATGTTCGGCCGGATGTGGAAGTTCCCGCCGCAGCAGGGGCTTCGGCAATTGTAGCTCTGGGTGCCAAGGCGAAGGCTAAGGCAAAAGGGAAAAGGCCCCGAGGCGATAGCTCGGGAGGACGCAGAAAAGAAAAGAGGAGCCGCAGTGAAGTTCCCATCCATAAGGATAAGATAGCTTCGGCTAATCTTATCGCTTCTTGTTCGGGTCCGCCGCTTCCTGCTCCCGAGGCCTTGCTGGAGGCACAAAACTATCGTGAGACTGCCGCTGGATTTCTGAAGGTATAGGTTCGTTCCTTGCGTGTTTTTCTATCGTTTCCATATGTGTTTGCTGACGATTCCCGTTCTATTGCAGGCCTTCAACTTGATGAATTCCATGGTCCGAGCCTACGATTCTGGAGCTCGGAAATCCGAGCTTGCTCGTGAAAAATCGGAGATCTCCCGGGCCGAAGTAGAGGCTAGGGTTTCCGAGGCGATGGCGGCTAAACAAGAGGCCGAGGCATCGGCCAAGGCCGAGAAGGTGGAGCGGTTGAAGGCTTTGGAGGATAGCCTGCGAACTCGGAGAAAGCTCGAGGCCGAGATTGCACGCCTTCATCGGTTATTCACCGAAGAAAAGGCTCTCCGAGAGAAGGAGGTTATCAGAGAGCGGAAGGCGGCCAAAAGGGAGTTTGCCGAGAAGATCAAGGCTATCGAGGCAAAGATGGACCAGTACGGGAAGGTGTCCACGCGCTATATGTACTTGGTGCAAGCGCGGGCCAATGCTGAGCTGATAGCCGAGCTGGAGGAAGGGAAAAAGGTGGAGGATGAGAAAGCCGAGGTCCTTCAATGGACGACCGAGTATGGAGATGCTGAGGATGAGTACGTCCGTCTCGGGACCGAGCTGCGAGAGGACTTGAAGCTTGCTCCGGTTTCCCCGGATTCTGTCGACGAAAGCTTCGGAAATCGTTCGATAGAGGGTGCCGCGGCTGCGATAGGTGTTGCCGACCAGTCGGATTCGAACCGAGGTACCGAGGTAGCTCAAGTTTCGCCGGTTAACCAAGATTCGATCTGATCCCGAGATGTCTTTTTACTCTTTTTGTAAGACACGCCTGGATGGCTTTATCCCTTGAATGTTATGTCCCAAGTATTTTTCTTAAAACATTTTTCCGAATCGAATCATGCGCCGGTGTTAAGTTAACCGAATTTAAGAATTGGTCGTTAAGAAGTTAAATCCAAACGTCTTATCTTTCGAGCCGAACGCGAAATGAATCGTTCACCAGTGTTAGGATAACTGGGTTTTGATTAAGTAGGACTAATCTTTATCGGTTGCGACCCGAGCTGATATAGTCGAAGCCAGTGCTAAGAAGCGGACTGGGGTACCAGTGTTGAAGTCGACTGGGTTTTCTGAAGACTATTTCTCTATGGTAGGATATCTCCGACCGAATCGTCTCGACCGTTTATATAGCGCGCTGTAACCGAGGCGGTGAAAAGAGCTTTTTCTATCCGAGGACGTGGCCATCGTCCAAACGAACTTTTAGCTTTATAGATCGATAAGATGACCGTTAAAATCTCCGAGGTGGATAGGATTGATAATCCGAAGGGTAAAAACTTGAGAATTTGAAAAAATTTAGTGGGAGTATGTAAGTATACGGACCCACTCCCCCCTTTTTTAATTAGGGGGGGTAGCTGAACTCGTCCGAGGACGAGCTGCCTACGTACCCTTTTCAGGGATCAAGCCACCCCGTAGTTCAAGTACATGCGTACCTTAGATTTTTAGAGGTAATACTTCCTTAGATGCATTGCGTTCCAGGATCTAGGTACCGCTTTGCCGTTCATGTTGATGAGTTCGTAGACGCCGGGACGGATTACCTTTGCGATCGTGTAAGGTCCCTCCCAATTTGTACCGAGCTTACCTGCGTTCTGCTCGGCGGTATTTTGGAAAACTTTGCGCAGTACAAGCTCTCCTTCGTGGAAGCGGCGATGCTTCACGTGAGAATTGTAGTACCGAGCCGTTGCATTCTGATAGTTCTGCATACGGATCAAAGCTGAATCTCTTCTCTCGTCAATTAAGTCCAGCTCGTCTAACATCATTTGAGTGTTAGAATTTTCCTGCTCGGGGAGAAAACGTCTTCTCAGTCCCGGGATCTCGGCTTCGGTGGGAATCACACACTCCGTGCCATAGACAAGGGCGAAGGGTGTTTCTCCCGTGGCCCGCCGGGGCGTGGTTCTGTGTGACCAGAGTACTCCTTCTAATTCGTCGGCCCAGCGGCCTTTCTTTGCGTCGAGGCGCTTTTTTATTCCGTCGAGAATCGTCTTGTTTGCCGCTTCGGCCTGTCCGTTCCCCTGGGGATACCGAGGCGTAGATTTGCTGAGGCGAATTCCCCATTTCTCGCAGAATCCTTCGAACCGAGCCGAAATAAACTGCGATCCGTTGTCTGTAACGATCTCATAAGGTATCCCGTGGCGGCATATGATGTTCTTCCAGACGAAGTTTTCGACCTGCGCGTCTTTGATGCTGGCGTAGGAGTCTGCCTCGATCCATTTGGAGAAGTAGTCTGTTAGTACGAGGACGAGTTTCTTCTGTTTGGAGTTGTGTAGAGGTCCGATGATGTCCATGGACCATCGCATGAACGGATAAGGCGAAGTGATGGAAGAGAGGAGCTCGGCGGGTTGATGAATGGTTGGTGCGTGCCTCTGGCATTTATCATACCGTTGAGAAAATTTCTCGCAGTCTTTGACCATCGTCGGCCAGAAATACCCGTGGCGTTTGATCTTTATAGCCAGAGCTCTTCCGCCAGAATGGTTTCCACAAGATCCGCCGTGAACTTCTTCCATGACTCTGCGAGCTTCGTTTCCTTCGACACAGATAAGGAGAGGACCAGAAAATCGCCATTTAAAGAGCTCTCCGTCGATAAGAGTATACCGAGCCGCTTTGGCCTTAAGCTTCCGAGCTGCCCACTTTTCAGTAGGAACTTTTCCGTCGGCAATGTAGCTTCGGATGGCTCCGATCCATTTGGCGTCGCTCCCGTATTCGGGCTCGGTTGCGTCCGTAGTTTGCTGGTCTAGTTGTTTGACGTCCATTTCTTCTAGTTCCTCTGTCTCCCGAGCTGTTAGAACTTGATCCTTGCTATTATCTTCAATGCTCCGCTTTTCGATGAACTCAACCGGTATGATCCTCTTCAGATTAGGGTCGGAGGTTGAAGCTAGAGCTGCTAAGGCATCGGCCGATGTGTTCTCACCTCGTGGGATTCTGGTCAGCTCAAACTCTCCGAACTGTTTCGCCAAGTCTTGCGTGAGAGCAAGATACGCTTCCATTCGTTCGTCGCGAGCCGCGTATTCTCCATTGAATTGATTAGCCACGAGTTGGGAATCGCAAAAGGCTCGCAGCTTATTGATCTTAAGTCCCCGCGCCAGCTTAAGTCCTGCTATCAGCGCTTCATACTCAGCCACGTTGTTAGTCGCGTCGAAATTTAGCCGAAATTTAGCTGGTGATGCGAGGCTGATTCCGACGCCAGAACCTTGTTTTGAAGATGAGCCGTCAACGTGGAGGATCCAAACAGCGTTGGGTGACTCTTCTCGGACGTTCTCTGTTGGCAGCTCGATGATGAAATCGGCCAGGACTTGAGATTTCGCGCATGTTTTGTTTCTGTATTCGATGTCATACTCGCTGAGTTCTACTGCCCACTTGGCTAAGCGTCCCGATTGGCTTGGACTGTGCAAGATGGTTCGGAGCGATACGGGCGCCATGACGACAATCGAGTGAGACTGGAAATATGGCCGTAGCTTCCGCGCTGACATTACTACGGCGAGGGCAAGCTTTTCAGTTTGCGGATAGCGTGTTTCCGCGTCGGTGAAAGTTTGCGAGACGTAAAAAATCGGCTTCTGCTCCCCTCTGTCTTCCCTGACTATGACTCCGCTTATAGCCGTGTCAGAGACTGCGATGTATAGGAATAACGGCTCGCCCGGGACTGGTTTCGCTAACACTGGTGGATTAGCCAAATATTTCTTCAGTTCCTGGAAAGCTTCTTTGCAGCGGTCGGTCTATTCGAATTTCTTGTTCCCGCGCAGAGTATCGTAGAAAGCTAGGCATTTGTCAGTGGATCGCGAGATGAATCGGTTCAAGGCTGCGACTCTCCCGGTGAGACGTTGGACTTCGCGCTTGTTCTGCGGTGAGGGCATGTTTAGTAGAGCATCGATCTTGATTTCCTCGCTCAAGTCGCTGCCAATTTCCACGCATCGTTCGGGCCGTTCATCGTCGAGGCTAATGGAGATTACAGGATCCGAGGTAGGCTTCTTCTCCTCGCGCGCCTCCTCGATCTGTAATTGCTATAACTGTTTAGATATAGCCTTCTCTTCACTCCGGCCAAGTTTTGATTTCTTGTGATTGGTTTCAGCCTTCGCTTCGGTGACGGGGTTTCGGAGTTTGTGTGCTGCCATGAAACACATCCGAGAATTTTTCTGACTGCCCCATATTGTTTTCACGCCATTAGGGGTCGGGAATTTGACACACAGATGATATGTTGATGCGACAGCTCGCATTAGATTTAACCACGGAGTCCCCATTATGACGTTGTAGATGGTAGGTCGGTCGGTGACTGAGAAGTTGACTATCTTTGTTACCCCGCCGGCTCGGACTGGTAGTTGGATGGTTCCAAGCGTCATCAAAGTTTCTCCTGAAAATCCGAGGACAGGCCTCGGGGTCGGAACCACCTGTGACATGTCGATGTTCATTCGTTGGAGCGTTTCGCGAAAGATCACGTCAATGGTGCTGCCGGTGTCAATCAACACTCGATAAATATCGTGGTCTCCTATCGCTAATGTGACGACGATTGGATCGTTATGAGGCATGTCGAGCCCGTTTGTCTCGCTTTCTTCGAATGTGATCACGTCGTTAGGTCGATCGAAGCGTCTTGTCCAGTTGCTAGGCGTCTCGGCTCGGCGTTGATAAGCTTTGATTGCCGCTACGGTGTCAGGACAGTAAGGTGATCCACCCATTATGGTAAGAACCTTCTGCCGCGTACCATCTCGGTCTTCGTCTTCCGACCCCCGGGTTCTTTTCTGAGACTCCTGGTTCCTTGGTTCGGGGTCTCTCCCTGGATTGATCTGCTCGGGCTCCGGTTCTGGCTCGAGGTCCTTGAGAGTAACGTTTGTCCCGAGCTCTCCAGCTAGGAATTTGGTTGCTAACTTGGCTCCGAGGCTTCGGCATCTCGAGGTATGATGGCTGAAAATTTTGTGGTGTTCGCAATATTCCTGATCATTGTTCGGTGGCTGATCCCTTGTCCAGGTGAAGGACTCTCTTCCTCGCCCACGGCCTCGGCCTCTGCCGCGGCCACGGCCTCGGGGTGTGTCGATTTGGTAGCTATGGTATCCTGAGAAATTACGCCCTTCGTGATGCGTATACGTACTGTTCTCACGCGTCTTCTTCTGGACTGGAGGTGCCGCTTGGGCTTTCTCAGTTTTCTCGGCTCGGGACGCCTGTTTCGTCGGCTCGTGCCTCTTTGCTAGTAGCGCCATTTCTTCTTCGTGGGCGACGAAATCCGAGGCTCGATGCAGCGCGTCACGAATTGTTGTCGGTTTAGACAGGTTCAACTCTTTCCTGAATTCTGACTTGTACCAGAGAGCTTTCTTCAAAGCTGAGAGAGCTGCTACGTCGGTAATTCCTTCGACCTTGGCTAGCGTTGATTTGAAAGTCTTGAGGAAATCTCTTAACGGCTCGGTGGGTTGTTGAGATAAAGACCACAGATCCGCGTCGGAAGTTCCGGGGTCGATGAGCACGGAGTATTGTTTAAGGAACAATGTCGACAGCTCGTCGAAACTATCGATCGAGTTTCGTTCCAATCTTGAAAACCAGTCTAATGCAGGTCCTTTGAGGTGTTCCACGAACAGTAAGCATAGACCTGCATCTTTTTCGCCGGGCTTGAACCTGGCTCGGGCCACAGATATCACGAACGATTTAATGTGGCATTTTGGGTCGGTTGATCCGTTGTAAGAATCGATTTTGAACTTCCCCAGATTGGACATCGTCGTTTCGGAAATTCTTTTGGTAAAAGGCGTATTCCGGGATTCTTCCAAAATTCGGTCGATGTTCGGTGCGGAGGACGAGACGCTATGTATCTGGGTTTTGACGAGCTTCATATCGGCTTCCGCCTTGGCTAGGGAGGCTCGGATCTTGCTTAGCTCGTCTTCTCTTTCGGATTCTTCGGCCCACCTTATGTTTTCCTCAGTTTCTTCATCGTCAGTGAGATCTGTTCGCTCGGCAGAGTTAGCTCCGGCTCGCGTACGTTCGTCTTGCAGATCATCTGGCTCGTCCGTCAAGTCCACTGCGTCCGGCTCGGTGGGATCATCCTGGTTCTCGCGCCTGACAGGGTCGGCTCGGGTTGCGACTCTGGTGTTGCCGGTCGGTGTCGCGAACGTGAGTCTCGTTGGGTTGATGCCAGGCAAGTCCCTCCGAGCTCGTGGTGGCCGAGTTTGGAAACGTGTGGTCTTTTGTTGCCCGCGTGTTGCGATTTCGTCGACTCGCTGCGCCAAGGTTTGGTTGGCTTTCTCTTGGTCGTCAGCTTTCTTCTGGAATTTAACCATCAGATCTTTCAGTTCGGCTAGAGTCGCTAGGATCGTCGGATCGGCTTGAGGATCTTGAGGGTTCGGAGGGTTCGGGATTCCTCCTCCAGCTGGTGGCGTCTGACGACCGTCTTCGTTCATCGTCCTTTTCAGTAATCGAGTTCTGCGTCTTAGGGTAAGAGAATTCTAAAGTATCCCCACAGACGGCGCCAAACTGTGGAAGTCGAAACTAACACAATCGAGATTTGTCTAGGGTTTTATTTTAGGGATACGATAATCGTGAATTCTCAAAGAACAACAGAAACGATTATAACCAAAGATGGTGTTCTTGATATTATTAATGAAAAGATGATTTTGATCGTACAAGAGTTTGATCGTAAAAGAAAAGATGTTTGTGCTGTGAGAGCTTTGCGTAGTGTAAATTCTAGAGCGATCTTGTCCCCCTTTTGCTTGATCCTTGAGTCTCTTTATATAGGGGTGATAAACCGCTTCTCCAGCGATATTCTCGGAAGATTTCCATTTATCTTGAAGTCGGCTAGAATATCGCGGATTAGGACAATTTCCTTATTCTTCGGAGTTTTCGGAAGATTTCCTGATTTGAGTTGATCCTTCGCGATTCCTCCTTATCATTTCCGAGTATATCGGAAATGATCCTTCTTTTTCGGAAATGACAATGTGCTTAGAAATGATACCTTTAAAGAAGAATATTTACTAAGTCTTTGCTTCGGGCGATGATGAAGACTTCGCCTCGGGGAACTTGTACAACCGGCTCGGGTACACATGAAGGGCTGGCTCGGGCATTCTAGGATGGCTTCATCGGGTGTCCCCGAGGCGATGGGCTCAGAAACTCCCGAGGTGACCAGGCTCGGGTACTCCCGAGGCAATTGGGCTCGGGTGCTTCTGATGTCTTCTTCAGGATATCCCCGAGGCGATGGGCTCGGGTACCCCCGAGGCAATTGGGCTTGGGTGCCCCCGAGGCAATTGGGCTCGGGTGCCTTCGACGTCTTGTTCTGGATATCCCCGAGGTGATGGGCTCGGGTATTCCCGAGGCAATTGAGCTCGGGTGTCTTCGTCGTCTTGTTTAAGTATCCCCGAGGCGATGGGCTCGGGTATACTAAATCGTTTAGACAGATATCCCGAGGTGAATGATGCGATGCCCCGAGATGATCTCTGAAAGACTCCCAAAGTGTTCTAAGTCTGGCTCGGCGCCAAGGGGTGGAACCCGACCCCAACAACTTCCAATAATTGTTTATACATAATTTAGAGCATTTTCAATGGTGAGAACTCCACATGGGCTCTCACCAATTGTTTAATATAAATTTTGCAAAATTTAAAGTTAAGAACATTTTTTAAGAGAGCTTAAATTTGTCTTTCTCCAATGGTGGGGTTCTCTTAAGAATAAATCATTTAAATTTTGAAAAACAAAAAGTGGTGTATGTTTGTAAAACAAGAAGAAATGTTATTTGTGTCTTTGTAAAACAAGAATAAGTGTTGTGTTTTGATATAATAAGAAGAAGTGTTGTTTTGATATAACAAGAACAAGTGTTGTGTTATGATATAATAAGAAGTAGTGTTGTATATATAGAGAAAAGGAAGGTGTATTCAAAAAGAGTGCAACTGAGGCAGATGAGGATAATTCTTACCTATTACCTAACTATTCGCTTCCAATGTTATTGTAACTGAAACCTACAGATATGGTATCCAACCTCTTGTTGTCTCCTGCAAAAACACACATTTACTATTAAATTTGCATATCTAACAAGTGCAGCTAGAAATGCATCTAGTTTTAAGTACAAATGCAAAGATCAGAGGAACAACTCACCTATGACCTTTACAAAACCCACTTCATCTGAATTCCAAACTAGTCCATTCCATTTCCCTAGCCATTCAAACATCATCTCTGTGTTCTGCTTAATGTTACCACATCTTCGTGTTCTTCCTCATCATCTTCTGTTAGTATCACCAAGCCAAAATAAAGATCTCAAGCACCGGTTACTACATTTATCATGTAAACAACACTAAAACTTGCTTCTTCTTTTTTCAACCTAATCCATCCTGCAGAAACATGGCTACATGTATAATGAACATATCCAATTCATACATATCCAATTCGAAACCAATCCTCCTAGAATTTAATCCTACACGACACAAGTCACTGGTTTTTGAACACCCTTCACCACTAAAAACCAAGACAGAGCTCAATTCTTACATGCTAAGTTCATGCAACACCACTAAATCAATAAGATCACTCTCTCACAATGCTAAGTTCTTCCTCTAATACGCATTAGCTGCCGCAACAACATTCAATTTCTCTTTCAATTTGATTCCTCTTTTCTTGCCACTATTGATGTTCAGCCAAGCTAATCTCAAGCTTACCTCTAACCAATTGTTTATGCTCTGTTTCATATGTGAACAATTCAGTCTATAAAACGAATCAAAACTATCAAAAATTGAGCTGCTTAGGATACCCAGAAACCCTAATTTTCAAACTAAAGCTTAAATTTAGAGAATTGGAGAATTGGTCAGGACCAAGGAAGACGTACAAAGAGGAGAACCAGAAGCGAAGGTGGATCGGATTCCAACAAGTTTGGGAACATGAACCCGACAAGTAGAAATTGGGTTTGTGATTGTGGCTAGCTTTGTGGCATCAGAATCTGGTAAGATAAAATTTGAAACTAGTCAGATACAAAGTACAAGTAGAGGAAGAAGAAGGGTAGCGAAGAGAGAAAGATAAATTACTTGGATGAGAAAAGGCGAGAGATTTATTTGATGAGAAAAGGCCATCTTCCTTCTATGTAGATATGGCTAAACTCTTCTTCTTCTGCTACTAATCCTCCGTCTTCCTTTCTCAAGGGTCGCAGAATCACCAGAGATACGAGAAAGAGAAAGAAAAAGAGGGAGAGAGTCGATTCTCAAATCTCTCTCTTCAGAGCCGACTCTCTGCATAATTACTTGTTTTGAATTATTTTTAATCACTTTAATCAAGAGAACCTCATTTCAATTCCACATAAACATGCCGTTGGAGATGCTCTTAGAAAGTTGCAATCATATATCAAAAAACTAAAATAAAACATGGTTTAGTTTCCTAGGTACATACGCAACGAAGTTTTGAAACTTTGAACCTAATAAATTTAGTTAAGAGTAAACGAATTATAAGGAACTTTTAAATTGAGATTTAAGAAAATTAGTTGATTTGGAATACGACAAAGAATTGTTAGTCATGAAACGACAAAAGCTTTGTCATAAAAACCAAATCCTATCAACTTGCTCAAAAAGCTTCAATAATATCGTACGTGTCCTGCACACGTAGATTCATAAATGTGGTTCTATGCTTTTACAGTTTTAGCCATATGCATAACAACAGCATAAGGTCTTAATGGTCCTCTCATGTAATCAAAATTACATTCACAAGTCGTTGTATGGTTTTCATGACATTTTTCAATATTTCATTTATTTTGTACCTTATTATCAATAATTCATTTATATATTATTTTTTAAAAATTAAGTTATTTTTAGTTTCAAACTATATGTGTTCTGCGTTGGCTCCTCCTGAGTGGAACAATTTAATATTCAATGTAAAGCAGGAAAAAAATATTGTAAAAGTATGTAATTTTGTTTTAAATGGTAATCACAATAATAGATAGATCTATAGATGTTTAATTTTGGCTACTCATGAATTAGGGTCAACTAGTAAGTTTATTACTACAATGAATATTACTTCTAGTTAAAACTTAAAAGGCAGCAAATCAGTCAAACAAGCACTTCAATTCAATGCCATCTCTTTTTCATTTTTCTTAGATTACTTATTTTTAATTAATCATTCAAAATGCAATAAATATTATTCTTATATTTTTATTAAAATACAAAATAGAGATTATGATAAGTGTTATTAAAAATATTAATATAAAATCCTCTTACATTTATAAAAAAATACACAAACTCAAGAAAAAAATTGTTATAATTTCAAAAATTATCACATTTTTAGCATTAGAAAATGATCATTCTCTTACATGGTATAAAAATAAAACTGTCTCAATATAACCAATCAAAAGATTTGATCGACTTCGTTTTATTCAAACTTTTTTTTTTTTTCAAACTTCAAACTTATATATATCAAAGTTCTATATGACCTATATTGTACAATAAAGTAAAAAGGAAATAGGCCTTATGAAAAAATCAACGTTAGGTGAAAAATTGCCTAGACTCTTTTGTCTACTAGCAGTCAAATCTGACTAATTTAATCCTATTTACTGCAACTAACCATAAAATTACTAATTTACAAAACAAATCTAAAGTACATGAATATAAAGTAGGGTAGTACCGTAAATAGTACATCAAGTTTAGGGTATAATGGTAATTAATCATGGTACTCGCTTCATCTTTATTTTACGCTAAAAGCCCTTTCTGCTCCCGAAGAACAAAGCAAAGCGTTGAAGAGAGAAGAAAAAAAAAACAAAGAAAAACCCCAAAAGTATCAATTAATTTCCATTTTCGCCGCTAAGATTTTGTTTTCGAACATTTACACCCTCAAGAGTCACCGACATGTGTGGAGGAGCTATAATCTCCGATTTCATTCCACCGCCGAGGTCTCGCCGTGTTACCAGTGAGTTTATTTGGCCGGATCTGAAGAAGAGCTCGAAAAAGCGCTCTAATGTCTTTGATTTTGACGCTGAGTTCGAGGCTGATTTCCAGGGTTTCAAAGATGATTCTTCTATTGATTGCGATGATGATTTCGATGTCGGTGATGTTTTCGCCGATGTGAAACCATTCGTTTTCACTTCGACTCCGAAACCCGCCGTCGAAGGTAAATATTTGGGCATTTGTTTCAGTTTTAGCGATTGAGTTGGTTAGAAATCAAGTTTTGATTCAATATAGCTATGTTCATTGAAATAAATTGTTTTTGCATACCTTTATATGCTTATGATTTTGATTGTTGTATAAAGCATGAGGCTTGATTTATATGCATATGATTTTGAGTGATGTTTTTTTTGGGGGCTTAATAGGCTTGATTTGTGTGATGAGATGGATTTGAGTTTGGTGATGAGTTTTTGTTTTGTTGTTGTTTTAACACTCACTACTAGGTTCAGCTTTTGGTAAGAAAGTTGATGGGGAAGCTGAGAGATCTGGAAAGAGGAAGAGGAAGAATCAGTACCGAGGGATTAGGCAACGTCCTTGGGGCAAATGGGCTGCTGAGATACGTGATCCAAGAGAAGGTGCTAGAATCTGGCTTGGAACTTTCAAGACAGCTGAGGAAGCTGCTAGAGCTTACGATGCTGCAGCGCGGAGGATCCGTGGATCTAAAGCTAAGGTGAATTTCCCTGAGGAAAACCCCAAGGCTAATTCTCAGAAACGCTCTGTGAAGGCTAATCTTCAGAAACCAGTGGCTAAACCTAGCCCAAACCCAAGTCCAGCTTTGGTTCAGAACCTGAACAACTCCTTTGACAATATGTGTTTCATGGAGGAGGAGAAACACCAACAAGTGAACAACAACAACAATCAGTTTGGGTTGACAAACTCCGTTGATGCTGGATGTAACGGGTATCAGTATTTCAGCTCAGACCAGGGTAGTAATTCGTTCGATTGTTCTGAGTTTGGTTGGAGCGATCAAGCTCCAATAACTCCCGACATCTCTTCTGCGCTTATCAACAGCAACAACTCAGGTCTATTCTTTGAGGAAGCCAATCCAGCTAAGAAGCTCAAGTCTATGGAATTCGAGACACCTTACAACAACACTGAATGGGACGCTTCACTGGATTTCCTCAACGAAGATGCTGTAACGACTCAGGACAATTGTGTAAACCCTATGGACCTATGGAGCATTGATGAGATACATTCCATGATCGGAGGAGTCTTCTGAAGAGATCCATTTTCATGTAAATAAGGCTGCATGTTAGTGAGTTTCCCGCATCGTTATCAACCTCCAAAACTTTCTAATGTCTGTTACTTTCATCATCTTCTGCTGTCTCTGTCTCTTTCAGGAGTTGTTGTTCGCATTCAAAGAAGTCATGAGCCTCTATCTTCAGGGTAGGTGTGATGAAGTTAAGTAGAGGCTTATTTCTAGGGGTTGTGGTAGTTTTTGTTTGGGTTAGTGAATCTTTGAATTCGTTTGTGTTTTGTTACTTTGTGCCCCAAAACTTCTATAACTTTTGTCATAATGTGTTTGAACCTCTCATCTGTTTAATCAAATAAATCTTCTATGTATGCTACTAAGAGTTTGTGAGAAATGTTGAACATAACAAAAGAAGTCACAAGCTAGATTTGAACCAAACCGGACGAAAATTAAGGACAGGTTATCGTAAATTTGTGATCAGAAAAAAAGCGGTGATTGATTGCCTAGAAAAGTGAGCCACTTTTGTTATTTCGTGGTACACTGAATCTAGAGGAAAAAAATGCTAAAACGACGACGTTAAACGACAGAAGCATCAAATGGTTGAACTTTCTTTTTGCAAGTGGTAACTGGTGAGTTTGTTGTGTCTTTCTCGTGACCGTTTATTATGATAAAAGAAAATAGAAAAGAGAGTAAATTAGCTCTTCTGGACAGTTCGTTTCTTTTAAGGGCCTAGCTTCCGGGGAAATCTCGCTTTCCGCCGGCTTTGTCTCCGGGGACATACATGTCGTTCGCCGGCTTTAGTTTCCCTCTTTTGGGCGTTGTATTCTATCTTGGTTCCATGTGAAGATCAATAATAAAATTCTAGATGACAAAAAAAAAAAAGCTCTTCTGGACAGTTCTGCTTCTTTAGGTCATTTTCACTTTTCACTCTCTGTATAAATATCTAAGAACACATTCTTTTTACTGATATATATCAAACACAGATTTTTATTTATATGTTGTTGGTCATTTATATTTAATTTTCAGAACAAATGAGTGAACTATGTTTCTTTTTATTTCACTTCTATTCAGAAAGTATAAATTGATTCTTTCTGGAAAGATTTGTAAGAAAAAAATGATAAATAACTATATTTTCGTGTTACTATCAAAATGTAATCCAACTTAACCGTAAGGGTGCATGAGTTTATAAGAGGAAAAGTTTGAGATATCATTTGGTTTCTCCTATTACTGTACTAATCAAACCATTTGACTTTCTTTTAAAAAGTTTTTGTATATATATAGGGCTTGTATATAATATAAGTGTGGACACACATTTTATATTATAAATAAATACATAAGTCTTGTCGACATGTCTATAAGTTAGCTTAGAAAAGCAAATGATTTGGTCTATATAACACACAAAACACGAGTCTTTAGAATTTTGTGGTGAATGTGAGAGTCAACATTAATGGAGAAAGTCACGAGAAGAACTATCTCCTTCTCCGCTTCCTTCATCTTCTTTATCTTCTCTTCCACCATTATCTTTCTCGCCGGAAAGTCCTCAGCCAAATTTTCTCACGACGGTGAAAATAATGTGACGGCCTTGTTCCTCTTCGGAGACTCTTTCTTGGATGCAGGAAACAATAATTACATAAATACCACAACACTTGACCAAGCCAATTTTCCACCTTACGGTCAAACATTCTTTGGCCTCCCCACCGGAAGATTCTCCGACGGTCGTCTCATCTCCGATTTCATTGGTGAGAACATTAATATATGTTTTATTATTCTTATTTTTTTTAGGTCGTGGTCTTATCTAAATATATAATATTGACGGAAATGTACGTTAATGATAGCGGAATATGCGAATTTGCCGTTAATTCCGCCGTTTTTGGAACCGGGAAATAGTCAAAAGAAGCTTTACGGCGTCAACTTTGCGTCTGCTGGTGCTGGTGCTCTTGTGGAAACGTTCCAAGGTTCGGTACGTTATTTATCTTTTACTTTATTTTGTTTTAATTTCTTTGGGGGTTTTTTTAGTAATTGTTTTGCATTATAGTGTATCTTAAAATAGATATTGTCATTTGATTGAGTTTCGTTTGCTTAATTGATCTCTGAGTTTGATTGAATGAAGTTAACTTTTATATACTTAAAATGGTGATGATTAAATGATTGCATATGGAAGTGGGTTTCGAGTTTTGACCCGATTATTGTGGCTAAATTAATTGACAAATCTTCTTTAAAATGTAGTATTTTGGTCCCACCTACGATTTGTTTTGTATCCTTTTACATACTTTATTTAGATATATCATATATATAAAGATAGTAGAATCCCTTTTTAATATTATTAAATTGTAAAATATGCAATACGCCAGTACCCACTTACTTATTTAGGACAATTAGGGATCTGATTGGTAACCAAAGTTGTACAAACTTTTTTAACTGTAACTTTTACCGGAATAGTACAAAACTGTATGAAGGAGCTATACGAGAAAACTGTACAAAAAAAGCTGAAAGTAAAACTTTTTGTAACGTTTTTGATAAAGTTTTTGTGATTGATAAAAATAAAAGCTGTACAACTTGTAATACTCTTTTTTTTTTCACCAATCAAACCCTAGATTTTAAATTTAAGGTTAGGTCAGATGTATTATTCTATGTTGTTAAACGTGGTTACCAATTCCTAATAATTGTAAGGTTATAAATTTGAGAACACAATTGGAACACTACAAGAAAGTGGAGAGATTGTGGAGGACAAGATTTGGTAAAGAAGAAAGCAAGAAGAGAATCTCAAGAGCTGTCTATTTGATAAGCATTGGGAGCAATGACTACTCAAGCCTTTTCTTGACCAATCAATCTCTTCCCATTTCAATGTCTCAACATGTTGACATTGTCATTGGTAATATGACTACATTCATTCATGTAAGTTAATCATCATCACCATCATCATAATATAAACATTATTTGTTTGCATTAATTTATTTGTTATATGGGTTTTTAACAGGAAATATACAAGATTGGAGGACGTAAACTCGGGTTCTTGAATGTGCCGGATTTGGGTTGTTTTCCAGCTTTACGAATACTACAACCGAATAATGATTCTTGCTTAAGAGATGCTTCAAGATTAGCAAACATGCATAATAGAGCTCTGACAAATCTCTTGTTTAAAATGCAAAGACAAGTCAAGGGCTTCAAGTTCTCCCTCTTTGACATGAACAAAAGCCTTAGACTCAGAATGCAACATCCTTCTAAATTTGGTAAGTGAGCTCTTTGTGAATTTTGTTGGGCTATTCCACTTATAATATTCATTAAGGGGCCCATTAAAATATATGTTCATAACCCAATACCATTTTTGTGATAAATAAAAGGGTTTAAAGAAGGGGAAGAAGCATGTTGTGGAACTGGGAAGTGGAGAGGAGTATTCAGCTGTGGAGGGAAGAGAATTGTGAAAGAATATAAGTTGTGTGAGAATCCTAAAGATTATATTTTTTGGGATTCACTTCATCTCACACAGAATACTTACAACCAATTTGCAAATTTAATTTGGAATGGTGGGCACAAGTCAGATTCTCTAGTGGTTGGCCCATACAATATCAATAAATTATTTCAGATTCCTTGATTTGAATGTATTACACTATAATACACATGGATTTTATGTTCATTTTTTACAACTTTTTTTCTTTCAATTATGGATCCAAAAATTCGAAATAATATGATGTCATGTTTTCCGGTAGATCCAGCAGTCTCTCGTATCAAAACTAACTAGCCATTCTTTTCTTTTTAACCAATTGCAACAAATAATGGAAGTAACGCACAAACAAGAAAGATACAAAGACTAGTAAATAATTTGCATTTTTTTTAAAGAAAGAAATTAAGCATAAACAAGATACAAAACATCTTGAATTCATTAAAAATCCACTAGTTACATTGTCTTTAACAAGAAAATAGAAATACGAATATAAAACTCCAATCTTAGTGAGGCAGTAGTATCAAGTGAAGGATCGAGTCGTTCTGGATGTTGTAGTCGGCTACGGTGAGACCATCTTCGAGTTGCTTGCTTTTAAACATCAGCCTCTGCCTGCCCACCGGGATGCCTTCTTTATCTTGGATCTTGGCCTTGACGTTTTCAATTGTATCGCGGTTTTCCACCTCTAAGACGATTCTCCTTCCCGTCAAAGTTTTAATAAAAATAAGCATGCCTTCACCATGACGAAAGTCCGGCCCATTATTTGGACGGATTGGGTTTTCATCGATCTTGAGGTCGATAATTTTGTAGCTATCGACCTCTAGGTTGATCATTGTTATTTCACCCACTGTCTTTATAAAAATCTGCATGACTTTACTATGACGAATGTCCTGTGGAATATTTCGACAGCTCGTCGGGTCTTCGTCGATTTTGAGGTCGATGGTTTTGGAGCTATCGACCTCTAGGTTGATCGTTGTTTTCCCATCCATAGTCTTATGAGAAATCTGCATTTTACCAAGTACTCACAAGCGAAGGTGGTAAAAAATCAAAGGAAATGAAACCAAAGCAGATGCCACTCTTACTCTAAATCTCCTAGGATGTTTTTTTAAAACATTGTTGTGGCCTTGTGGGAATTTATTTGGTTAACAATTTCCTATACTTATTTTGGAAACGTCGTGTTGACTGAGCAAAGGAGTCCTCTTGAGGCCGCTTCAAAAAAAAAATCTCTAAAAAAACGCTCTCTCTCTCGAAATGGAGATGAAGGTGGAGACTCTAGGGAACTGATTCCCGACGATGAGCGGCTTTGCTCCGGTGGTATCATCGCGGTTCTATCATGGTTTTGTGTCGGATTGTATGGTTTTTGCGGTGGTTTCGGTTGGTTCAGTTTTTTTAAGGCTCAATTGGATCTCGAGTCTCGGATTATTAGGTTTTGGTTTGGGGAAAGGAAAAGCTCCTTCATGTGCTGGATCGATTACAAAGAAAATATGGCTTTATTCGGTGAAGTTTCATCGGATCTGGAGAGAAGTCGAGGAAGTTCTGGGTTTAGAGTCCATGGTTTTGAGTTTCGGTGGCTTGAAGGGTTTCGATCGGGTCGTGTTGACGATGGTCTGTGAGGTTGCCTCAGTTGGAGTAGGGGTTCTGGTAGTGAAATCAGGTTCTGGCCGGTTAAAGATGATGAAGGAGAGTAAGATCACATGGGATGAGTCTTCTATGTGGATGTCGGATTCGCACACTCAAGTATTTTATTAAGTAGGAAAGATTATTCTTGAGAGACAAAAATGAATATGTAAAAACTTATAAATTGATACGAAAATCGCTATAGTATTTCTTTCTTGAGAGGAAGCCCCCTTTACATGGCCATTGGCCTATATATTTATACATAGAGAAACGACATTAAAATGAGTAATTAAGTACAATTATTCCTTCTTAAATGTGTCCGTTTTGATTCTTTGACTTTAATGCTCAACGTTTGAATTTGAGTTGACTCTGATCTTCATGGGCCTCGCCCCTTTTGGCCCAAATGTCCTTGAACCGACTTACCCGCGTCTTCTATACCGAACTCGTGCCTCAGTGTAGTCACTTCGGATTCTCGAAATGGTGACAACCACTTCGACCATCCCTTCGGCTCACGGGTCCAATGGGCTTCATCCTTTATGGGCCATTATCTTGATTACGTGGCAATCTTTGGTAGGTCTCGTACTTCTGGTGCGGGATCCGACACCAACAATTAGCCCCCCAAGTTCTTCGAAGTGCTATTCCAATTCGGAGGACTTTAAATGCTCAAGTGGCCAAAGATTGCGCTCGAGAATCTTTCTGATTTCCCGCCGAAAATCTCATCATTCCTTTAATTTCGGCGCTAGCCATTTTTAACCAAATGACATCTGTCATCATTATGACCGTATATTGATTAATTACTATTAAAATGGGAAAAAACCTTCCCACTTCGCACACGACTTCCGAGACGGTTTCATCATTAGCCTGAGGTAACTTCTTTTCACCATTACTCTCTTCTTTTACTTTTGTATTTTAATCAAAACCTCTCTCTTTGTTCCTTCACCAAAATCTTTCTTCGCCGGATCTTGAATTTTTCTTTCTTCCCAATGACTTCCGATTCCGATAGACCCGAGTCTCCGTCTTTTGATGAGAGGCGTTCTAACAATGACGAGTGCACCCGCTCTAATGATATTCCCGGTCCGCACTATAGGTCCACTTGTACTCTTCAATCCCTCGAGCGGTTGAAAGAGCTTTGCCGGATTCCATCGGAAATTATGGCGGAAGCACAAATAGCTTCCCCCACGGAATCCCCGGAGAACCATCGCGATGGTTACTTCTGTGTGTACGAGATTTATTTCAAGGGTTGCGGGCTGACCTTTCCTCTTCCCGAAGCCCTAGTTTTATACCTAGCGGCTCTTGAAATTGCTCTTCCTCAATTAACCCCCAATCTTCTCCGTACTATTCTTGGAATTATAACAATCGCGGCGGAGGCTGGTTACGTTATCGGAGTTGCTGAACTAAATGAGCTTCTGAGCGTGAGAAGTTCATCGAAGAAAACGGGGTATTTCTCAGCATATCCTAATGCCAACAGGAACATCATTTCACATCTTCCGAACAAGGATGAAAATTGGCATCATCCTTGGTTTCTAATTAAGAAAACTCCCGCTTCGATTGGAAATCTCGCAGATTTTCTCCCTTCGAAGTGGTCTGCGAAACCCGGTAGTGATTAGGTTGCCCGTATCTTTCCCGGTTATTTCTTTATCTTTATTGACTAACACCGTTGTTTCATTTCGCAGCTTTCATCGCTTCCAATCTCCCATCTGAAGAGTTTATCGAATTCTTCAAAATAATTCTTGAAGGGGAAACCCTTTGGAATTCCTTCACTCTTGAACGATTCCTAGAAGCTAACCACAGACTCAGGATGAGTCCGCCTGGTCATCTTCACCAAATTCCTCCCCCTCCCTCAACTCAGGGAATGTCATCTCGGGCCCTTGCGGCCAAGCGTAAGTTGCTTTCCAAGCCGATGGCTGAGGTTTGCGAGGAGAAGAAAAAGTTTCTCGCGACTTCTATAGACAAGAAGGACTACAGTAGAACCTTGCTGGTTGATGATGGCAGCACCGAGGGAGCTCGATCTGTCGCTTCCTTCAGATTAACTCCTCGTCGCGATCGTCGCGACTCACGTTCTCCTCGGAGGAATCAATCTCCTCGCCGTGATTCACCTTGTCCTCCCCGAGATGATTTTAGTAACGAACCAATTAAGAACTTGGTTCGCCGGAAGAGAGACAAGTCCTCTCGCAGCGATTCTTCTCCGCGGAGGGAAAAGTCGAGGGCCCGGACTGACCGCTCACCTCGATCATCCCCTCCTCCTGAACCAATGGGTCCTCCACGACCGGTTGATATGTCTTCCTCCTCCCAGCCTGATAGTGGAAAGACTGCCCGGAGTGCCTCTCCGAAAAAGGGAGATTCATAATCTCGAGATACTTCCTCGAGGTTAAAACCTGCTCTTGTCCCTCAAGTCAAATAGCTTTCAGGTTTGGTGATTCATACAGTATTCAACGTTTTTTTTTTTATATTTCCATTAAGATTCCGATTTTTACAACTCTTCTTTCTTCGCAGCTATGGAGAAAGAGGGTAGCGTCTTCCGATGCTTCAAGACCCGATCGGGTTCGATCTTGCCAGATTTCGACAAATGGCGCCCTGCGATTCGTGAACGCTATTTGCTTCACGCGCATCACTCATCTCGGGTTAGTTCCGTTTTTTTTTTTTTTTTTGCATTGCCATTCTGCGAACTGACTCACCATCCCTGGTTCATGTGTAATGCCAGGCTCATAGCGAATTTAACGACATGATCGAACATTACGAAGGGTTGGTCATTGGTCGGGAGAAGGAGATTGACATGTGGAAGAAGAAATTCTCAGCTCTTGAGGCTGACCTCAACTCTTCTGCTGGCTCTAAGCACGATCTGGAGGATAAGGTCGATAGGTTGACGTCGGAGCTGGCGCAGGTAAAGGGGGAACTGCAAGACTACTATGACCGGAATTACAAACTCCAGGACGAACTGTCTGGTGTTCAGGGTAGACTTCATGAATCCGAATCAACCGCCGACACCCTGAACAACCAACTTATTGAGCTTGACGCGAAGTACAAGGCGCTAGCCAAGTTGCGTGATTCTGAGTTGGCAAGGTCGGCATCGAAGGCCAGAAAGGAGGTTAAGGGACGCGGGATGGAATTGATCCAAGGGGCCATTCGCTTCATGCAAACCGAGAAAGCTAGGTCGGACTTGGAGTCAGACATCAAGGAGCACGAAAGCAACCTGATTCTCCTGGACCAAATCCATGAAGCAGATTTCTCCGAGGAGCAAGAAAGGACCGAGCTGTCGACTAACCTTTCTGAAAAACGGAGTCGCTTGGCAGCTCTTCCCACTTCGGCCTTCAACCCGCTTGACTTCGAGGCATTCTTTACTGAATCACCTCCTATAAGTGAATCGGGTTTAGACTGGGCAGGTAACGCTTGCCTCCTGTGGCTTACCTTTTTCTTACCTTGTACCTTTGATTGACTGGAATTATTATTTCTAGGTTCAAGTGAGACGGAAGACGTTGTCCCGCCCGCAGCTCCTATGGTACCAGAGGTCACTCCGGAGGTTGGTTATACCGCGGAGGGTGGTCAGGGAGCTTCATCTGATCAAGCACCAGTCAAGGAGGTGAATGAAACTTTGGTTGCTGAGCCGGAGTCCGGGGTGGAGATCACTCCGTAGTGGCTGCGTCCACTTTAAATTGGGGATTGTCCCTTTAACTTTAAGACTTAATTTATTTTTGGCCTAAGGAGGCTTTATTGTTTCTTTTGAACAAGATATTTGCCTGAGGAGGCTTTTAAACCTTTCTAGGTTGTGACCCAAGGGGGTTTGGTTAAAATTATATGCGGGTTTGCAAAGTCCGCTTTTAACCTTCTGTGGCCTTGTGGCAATGCTTTCGAGATTTTTAGGCTGATCAGACTTTTTTCTTTAAAATGCGAGAGCTGAGCTCGGCTTAAAGCGAGTTCCCCACTTCGGGTTTAGTCAACTCGGTAAACTTGCTGGGCTTGGGCCTTAGAAACTTTTGTTGTTAATGCGATGGTTGCTCTTTCCCTTCTTAAAGAAAACGGCTCGTCTTTTAATGCAATAATTGCCTTTTCTCGATTTTCCAAAATGGTTTAACCCACTCGGAAACGCTACCATTAATGGATTTATGGTTCCAAGACAAACCCTAAATCATTATAAATAAAGGCTTACCTACCTCTAGGCTTTATTAAACATGACTCTAGAATCTTACTTGAGAAATATTTTAAGAATGGAAAACGAAACAGTAGCCCCCGTTGATCCCGGCAGTCCACTCTTCTTATCCGGCGACGGCTTTGAACCGGCCAGCGTTCTCTTCCCTCACGCCGTCTTTCACTTTCCTCCGAAGGAGAAGAAAGAGGCTTGCGATTTTATTGACAAGGTAAATATTAAAGTTTTTGA